TTATTTGATAAACATGGTGTTTGTTTATGGCATTTCCTTTTATTTACCATCTTATGTATAGATAAAGACTGATGTTATTGCTCTCTGTGCTCATTTTTACCCAGCAGTATCTCTGAGGAGAATGACCAGTCAATGGATTACCAACCCAGAGGCTCTACTGATGACAAAGTGTGAGTGATCGCAGTTTGCACTACATCCTACGTATTTTCTATTAGTTTGATTCACCAGCCGTGTGTCTGATGACATCTGGGATCTTTACTCTGCAAATGTCAAGATAATACAGTAGCCTCAAATTCATCATTCAGGATGCCTAATTTTGCTTGTTATAGGATTTGAATTGTCTACAGGACAACATCATTCAGTCTGACATTATACTAGAAATGTAAATAAAGTAGTATGATGACTGTAATAGTGAGACTGTACCCAAGGTTTAGTGTAACTATCAGGAGATACAGAGTGCATTGTCTCCCAGGAAAAGCACCACATGCTGTGGCTTAATCTTCACTTAGCCTAGCTAACTCTAGGATATCAAACTCTGTACTGTTTCATCATTGATCACATCCATATTGATGTTTTTGTACCCAAATAAATGTAATTCAATTTAACAAGGAAGATCTTTATTTTCCACATATAGGTACCAAACTGTTTCCACTAAGACCGAAGTCCAGGATAAAATGAAATCCTACCTGAAGAATAGGACATATTCTTTATTTGAGGGCATTGAAGATCAAGGAAAAACGACACCTCTTAACAACATCTACACAGAGCTCTGCATCATACAAGGTGAAAGTGGAGAGGTCAATTATGAACATGAGGTGAGACAGATTGAGACAGCATGCAGTTGTCAAGTACAACAAGAGACATCAATCCAACTCAATGACATCTTCAAACCTCTACCTGGACAAGACAAGCCTATCAGAACAGTGCTGACAAAGGGAGTTGCTGGCATCGGGAAAACAGTGTCTGTGCTGAAGTTCATGTTGGACTGGGCTGAAGGAAAAGCAAATGAAGACATCCAGATCATCTTTCCACTTCCTTTTCGGGATCTGAACTTGATGAGAGATACAAATCAAAGTCTGATAAAACTACTTCATCACTCCTTTTTAGAAACAAAATAATCAGAAATCTCAGAAAACGAAAATGTTGTGTTTGTTTTTGATGGTCTGGATGAATGTCGCCTTCCTCTGAACTTCCAGAATAATAAGATCTGCTGTGATGTCACAGAGTCAACTTCAGTGGATGTTCTGCTGACAAACCTCATCAAAGGGACTCTGCTCACATTTGGATAACCACCTGACCTGCAGCAGCCAATCAGATCCCATCTGAGTGGGTTGACCAGGTGACAGCGGTACGAGGGTTCAATGACCCACAGAAGGAGGAGTACATCAGGAAGAGAATCGGTGAGGAGGAGCTGGCCAGCAGAATCATCTCACACATAAAGAAATCAAGGAGCCTCCACATCATGTGCCACATTCCAGGGTTCTGTTGGATTTCAGCCACTGTACTAGAGAGACTATTGGTTGAAGCAGAGAGTCGAGAGATCCCCAAGAATCTGACTCAAATGTACGCTCACCTCATGATCTTCCAGTCAAAATTGAGGAGTCAGAAGTATCCTGTAGAGCATGCCAACGATTCTCACTGGGATAAAGAGATGATTCTGGCACTGGGAAAACTGGCTTTTCAACAGCTAGAAAAAGGCCATCTGATATTCTATGAGGAAGACCTGAGAGAGTGTGGCATTGATATCAAGGATGCATCAGTGTACTCAGGAGTGTGCACTCAGATCTTCAGAGAAGAGTCTGGGCTTAACCAGATAAAGGTGTACTGCTTTGTACATCTGAGTATCCAGGAGTTTCTGGCTGCACTATATGTGTTCCTCATTTTCACTAACGACAACAACAATCTGATGGCTAAAGAAAAATCCCTCCGCAACATAAACAGTCTATATGAAGATGCAGTGAACAAGGCCTTGCAGTTTGGAAATGGCCTTCTGGACCTTTTCCTCCGCTTCCTTCTAGGCATTTCAAATGAGTCCAATCAGCATCTCATACAAGGCCTACTGACAAAGACAGGAAGCGGCTCACAGAGCAACAAGGAAACAGTCAAGTACATCAAGGAGAAAATCAGGAAGAACCTCCGTCTGGAGAGGTGCATCAATCTGTTCCACTGTCTGAATGAGATGAATGACCATTCTCTAGTGGAGGAAATCCAAAGCTACCTGAGCTCAGGAAGTCTCTCAAAATCTAAACTCTCATCTGGACAGTGGTCAGCTCTGGTCTTCATGTTGCTATCCTCAGAGAAGCTGAATGTGTTTGACCTGAAGAAATACATCAGATCAGATGCGGCTCTTCTCAAACTTCTCCCAGTTGTCAGATCCTCTAGAACAGCCCTGTAAGTGCTTAGTCAAATTACATTCCAGACAGCATGCTAATGTAACATAATAATGAACATCAGATTGAATTACTAGTTAGGCTAACAACCCAAGTCCAAAGGGGGGGGGTTTATTTGTGGGCACCTGGGTATTTTGAGATGCAACTTTTCTTTCCACAGGCTGAACGAATGTAAACTCACCAAGAAATGCTGTGAGGCACTGGCTTCTGTTCTCAAATCAAACTCATGCTGTTTGATAGTGCTGGACATGAGTGGCAATAAACTCCAGGATTCAGGAGTGAAGCTGCTCTCTACTGGACTGGAGGATCCACACTGTAAACTGGAGACATTGAAGTGAGTGACTTTGTGACTCTCCACTGCAAAGGAAAGTGGATGTTGTAAATATAAAGATGTACATTATTCATGTTGTAAATGTAGTTATGGATTTATGTGGATTACTTAGCTGCATCATCACTGTAAACTGGAGAAACTGAGGTGTGTGAAGCTCAAATAAACTGCATGCTTTCCGAGTTGTAGTGGGAGGACACACAAAATGTGAGTCCAAATGTACTTTGACATGTGGTTATTATAATAATATTTGCTGATAAACGCGTTTCCACCGCCATTTCTTGCATAATGCATTTTACAGACACAAAAAGATCCCACCTTGTCTAGCATATTTTGTTTTGTTGACATTTGGAATTGTAACTGACAAAATTGCTGTTTCCATCAGGCCTGTCGTGACATTTAATCCAAGGCAGTGCACTGGACAGCTGACAATGCTACTTTCAAAGGTAATTTATGTTTGAGTTGAGATGCGCTACATTTAGATTGAATGTGATTTCCACATACATTGGGAAAATGTTGTCAGCATTGTCGGCTTTCCAGTGCGCTGCTCTATAACTTGGATTGAATTCCATCCTTGGTCTCTGATTGTACCATTATTGTAGACAATTTGTCAGTTTTTATCATTGTTTGTATCATTGTCTGAAATATTTGATATTGTTTTCTCCCTCACTTTCCGCAGGCTGGCAGGCTGCAACATCACAGAGGAAGGCTGTGCTTCTCTTGCTTCAGCTCTGAGGTCAAACCCCTCCCACCTGAAGGAGCTGGACCTGAGAGGAAATACTCCAGGAGACTCTGGAGTAAAGCTGCTCTCTTCTGTACGAGAGGATCCCCTCTATACACTGGAGACACTGCGGTGAGTTTTACTGATCAGTTTCATGAGCACACTGATAGTGATCAATTAGCCATTGTAGACATCCAGACACTGGGTCATATTCATTAGTGCAAACTGTAGCGAAACATTTTGCAAGACATGCTAGTTTCTTATTGGACTAGTTCAGGTAGTCCCTGCCCGTTTTGTTCCGTGTTCTTCTCTTTGATGCCTAGTGAATACGCCCCCTATTTGTCTAAGCTGCTGTATGAGGACTTAGATCGACTTCACTTCTTTCTTCCCCAGGTTAAATGATTGAAAGCCCACTGAGATTCAGTGAAGGAATGGCCTCAGCTCAAAATCCTTGGTTGTGGGAGTGCCCTGCAGTTAAATGCTTCTGGGACAGTTACAAAATTCATTTGAAAGTGCATGAATGTAAATATTCAATGCTTCAAATCAACGATGATAGCTCCTTGAATCTCTCAATCAATCCGAGAGCCCTGGCAAAGTTGTGCCAGGAAAATAACCTCTCCCTCAACAAACGCATCACCGGGGGCTGCCTGCCCTCCAGGACATCTACAGCACCCGGTGTCACAGGAAGGCCAAGAAGATCATCAAGGATCTCAGCCACCCGATCCACGGCCTGTTCACCTCGCTACCATGTAGAAGGCGGAGACAGTACAGGAGCATCAAAGCTGGGACAGAGACTGAAAAACTGCTTCTATCTCCAGGCCATCAGACTGTTAAATAGGGGGGAGGGGCGGGTGGTTGGAGATGAGGCCCACTTTTTTGTTTTCTTGTTTGAATATTGTACCTGTAGAAATTCCGAATGTGTTCATTCAGTTTGATTACTTGTACCTAATCTCCATTACACTACAATACAGGGACTGACTGTTACTGATGAATTGTCTATCAGTAAGGTGGCGCTATGGGAAATGTAAATAGATGTACATGTGGTTTGATGTTCCTTGATGTGTTCTGTTAGCTTAGTAAAAAGCCCTTTTATAATGCCATCATGCTATATCCATCATGTCTATACATATTGACTGTAGTTCAGTGTCACTACAGTTAAGCTTCTTAATCTTGTCTTCCTAGTAACTCTACATCTTACCAGACTGATATCTTTATTTCAGGGTATTAGATGTCTCTGGATTGCCTTGTACGCTGCTGAGGTTTTTATTGTTGCACCTTGAGCTTTAAAACATGTAGCATTTCTTACATTCTATGTAACCCTGTATGTTAATCTATGGTAAACTGTATTTCATATTCCTTAAATATATGCAGTACAGCTGTTATTCCTATTGACGTGTGACTGTGTCCATCTGTTATTAATTTAATGACTTGGTTTCCACAGCTATGAATGTTCATACTCACAGTAATGAATAGGTCTACCTGTGTGCACTCAAGCCCTTTAAGGTGTTCTCTGCTGGTCCAACTAAAATGTATTTGACAAAAACATTTCACTACTGTACCATATTTTAATAGTTTCAAAATGGTACATCAAGCAGCTAGTTCAGGTGGCTAATGCTACCCAAATCTAAACCTTTATTATACAAAGTCACCAAACAATGAAGTAGATCTGAAAACAGGCAGGATGTTTTACTATTAAATACATTTTATTACACAAGCGGAAAATGACAGTCTGGCCTTTTCACAGAAAGACAACTCTGAACATCTCATTGTGGGTCTTCTGGTTGGTCAGTAAAGCAGAGAGCCATGCAGTCTCAGCAGCTCCTTACTGCAGTGTGTGTGTGTTTATGTCTAAAGACCGATATATTGGACAGATAGATACTTCCTTCCCTCCCATATTTTCTCCTCTCTCCTTAGCCCCAGTTGTGTTGGTCTTCTTCTGTGGTGGTCAGTATGTCAGTAACCAGGCCGGTGCCAATAGTTTTGTTGCCATCTCTGAGAGTGAACCGTTGACCTTTCTCCAGAATCATAGGCTGGCGCAGCGTGAGGGTCAGGGATGTGTCTTCACCTGGCATCACCATGTCCTGTTAGAGAGAGAAGAGGATCAGTCTTTCCTCAAAGAGGATAAAACACAATCCTGGACAATGGGGCACACTACATTATAATACACAAATCACATTAGTGAAAAAGATTGACCATTTCAAAGGTGACAGAGACACGTACCTTGTCTCCTGCCAGGTGGACCCTGCAGGCCATGTCCCAGGTGAGAGAGAACATGACTGGCATAAAGTTACTGACAAAGGGCTTGTGTCTGCCACCCTCCTCCTTGCTCAGGACATAAACCTGGGATGAAGAGATGTTTTTATGACAGATTGTACATTCATTCCATTGAAATTCAATTAAAGAACATATCATATCCTAACCTTGGACTACTAGAATACACTAGTACATATATATATATATATTTTTTTTTTATATACCACAAATAATATACCATAACTGTAGACAGGCATGGGCCACAAATACTATCCCATAGCTGTAGATAGACATGCATTTAATTTGACCAACTTAATATATTCAAATGTAAAACGCTGAATAAAAGAAATTATTTCAGAGAACTATTTACTGGAACTACTAGACTACAACACTATGGTACACTAGACCTATATAGTGGAGTACTATGGTACACTAGACCTATATACAGCAGTACTAGACTACAACACGGCGGCAGGTAGCGGTGCGCCAGTAACCGAAAGGTCGCTGGTTCTAATCCCAGAGCCGACTAGGTGAAACATTTGTCGATGTGCCCTTAAGCAAGGCACTTAACCCTAATTGCTCCTGTAAGTCGCTCTGGATAAGAGCGTCTGCTAAATGACTAAAATGTAAATACTATGGTACACTATACCTACAGTGAGGGAAAAAAAGTATTTGATCCCCACTGACAAAGACATGATCAGTCTATAATTTTAATGGTAGGTTTATTTGAACAGTGAGAGACAGAATAACAACAAAAAAATCCAGAAAGACGCATGTAAAAAATGTTATAAATTGATATGCATTTTAATGAGGGAAATAAGTATTTGACCCCCTCTCAATCAGAAAGATTTCTGGCTCCCAGGTGTCTTTTATACAGGTAACGAGCTGAGATTAGGAGCACACTCTTAAAGGAAGTGCTCCTAATCTCAGCTTGTTACCTGTATAAAAGACACCTGTCCACAGAAGCAATCAATCAGATTCCAAACTCTCCACCATGGCCAAGACCAAAGAGCTCTCCAAGGATGTCAGGGACAAGATTGTAGACCTACACAAGGCTGGAATGGGCTACAAGACCATAGCCAAGCAGCTTGGTGAGAAGGTGACAACAGTTGGTGCGATTATTCGCAAATGGAAGAAACACAAAATAACTGTCAATCTCCCTCGGCCTGGGGCTCCATGCAAGATCTCACCTCGTGGAGTTGCAATGATCATGAGAACGGTGAGGAATCAGCCCAGAACTACACGGGAGGCTCTTGTCAATGATCTCGTCAATGATCTCAAGGCAGCTGGGACCATAGCCACCAAGAAAACAATTGGTAACACACTACGCCGTGAAGGACTGAAATACTGCAGCGCCCGCAAGGTCCCCCTGCTCAAGAAAGCACATATACAGGGCCGTCTGAAGTTTGCCAATGAATATCTGAATGATTCAGAGGAGAACTGGGGGAAAGTGTTGTGGTCAGATGAGACCAACATCGAGCTCTTTGGCATCAACTCAACTTGCCGTGTTTGGAGGAGGAGTGCTGCCTATGACCCCAAGAACACCATCCCCACCGTCAAACATGGAGGTGAAAAAGTATTTGATCCCCTGCTGATTTTGTACGTTTGCCCACTGACAAAGAAATGATCAGTCTATAATTTTAATGGTAGGTTTATTTGAACAGTGAGAGACAGAATAACAACAAAAAAATCCAGAAAAACGCATGTCAAAAATTGTATAAATTGATTTGCATTTTAATGAGGGAAATAAGTATTTGACCCCTCTGCAAAACATGACTTAGTACTTGGTGGCAAAACCCTTGTTGGAAATCACAGAGGTCAGACGTTTCTTGTAGTTGGCCACCAGGTTTGCACACATCTCAGGAGGGATTTTGTCCCACTCCTCTTTGCAGATCTTCTCCAAGTCATTAAGGTTTTGAGGCTGACTTTGGCAACTCGAACCTTCAGCTCCCTCCACAGATTTTCTATGGGATTAAGGTCTGGAGACTGGCTAGGCCACTCCAGGACCTTAATGTGCTTCTTCTTGAGCCACTCCTTTGTTGCCTTGGCCGTGTGTTTTGGGTCATTGTCATGCTGGAATACCCATCCACGACCCATTTTCAATGCCCTGAATGAAGGTAGGAGGTTCTCACCCAAGATTTGACGGTACATGGCCCTGTCCATCGTCCCTTTGATGCGGTGAAGTTGTCCTGTCCCCTTAGCAGAAAAACACCCCTTAGCATAATGTTTCCACCTCCATGTTTGACGGTGGGGATGGTGTTCTTGGGGTCATAGGCAGCATTCCTCCTCCTCCAAACACGGCGAGTTGAGTTGATGCCAAAGAGCTCCATTTTGGTCTCATCTGACCACAACACTTTCACCCAGTTCTCCTCTGAATCATTCAGATGTTCATTGGCAAACTTCAGAAGGGCATGTGTATGTGCTTTCTTGAGCAGGGGGACCTTGCGGACGCTGCAGGATTTCAGTCCTTCACGGCGTAGTGTGTTACCAATTGTTTTCTTGGTGACTATGGTCCCAGCTGCCTTGAGATCATTGACAAGATCCTCCCGTGTAGTTCTGGGCTGATTCCTCACCGTTCTCATGATCATTGCAACTCCACGAGGTGAGATCTTGCATGGAGCCCCAGGCCGAGGGAGACTGACAGCTATTTTGTGTTTCTTCCATTTGCGAATAGTCGCACCAACTGTTGTCACCTTCTCACCAAGCTGCTTGGCGATGGTCTTGTAACCCATTCCAGCCTTGTGTAGGTCTACAATCTTGTCCCTGACATCCTTGGAGAGCTCTTTGGTCTTGGCCATGGTGGAGAGTTTGGAATCTGATTGATTGATTGTTTCTGTGGACAGGTGTCTTTTATACAGGTAACAAGCTGAGATTAGGAGCACTCCCTTTAAGAGTGTGCTCCTAATCTCAGCTCGTTACCTGTATAAAAGACACCTAGGAGCCAGAAATCTTTCTGATTGAGAGGGGGTCAAATACTTATTTCACTCATTAAAATGCAAATCAATTTATAAAATTTTTGACATGTGTTTTTCTGGATTTTTTTATTGTTATTCTGTCCCTCACTGTTCAAAATAAACCTACCATTACAATTATAGACTGATCATTTCTTTGTCAGTGGGCAAAAGTACAAAATCAGCAGGGGATCAAATACTTTTTTCCCTCACTGTATATACTGGAGTACTAGACTACAACACTATGGTACACTAGACCTATATAGTGGAGTACTAGACTACAACATTACGTATACAGTACACCAACAGTTCACACTCCTCTAGAGCTGCTAGCTGAAGATATAGACCTGGGCCTGGATTTATTTATTACATGATACAGACCTGTACTTTATTTATGATATGATACAGACCTGGGCCTGGACTTTCTGGTGAGGCTGGATGGAGCCTGGTTTGCTCATCACCATCCCTCTCCTTATGTCCTCCCTCTTCAGCCCTCGGACCAGAGCACCCAGGTTATCTCCTGCCTCCGCTCTGTCCAGAGACTGGTGGAACATCTCAATGCCTGGGGAGGAGAGAGGGGGAGCGATGTAAAGAAAGAGATGGTGAAGGGAGAACAATTAGACTCAGAATGGAGTTGTGTATGGAGGTTTTAGATGGAGTTGAGGGGTTACCAGAGGGCTATTTTGGGTAACTCTGTCCAGTAGTCTTATTAGTGGGTAATTGGTGCTAGAAGAAGTGCAGTGGAGCTACTGTTGTTGTTTTAACTTGGTGTTAGGGGTAGTTCTGTCAGAACACTGTACTAGGGGTTAGGGGTAGTTCTGTCAGAACACTGTACTAGGGGTTAGGGGTAGTTCTGTCAGAACACTGTACTAGGGGTTAGGGGTAGTTCTGTCAGAACACTGTACTAGGGGTTAGGGGTAGTTCTGTCAGAACACTGTACTAGGGGTTAGGGGTAGTTCTGTCAGAACACTGTACTAGGGGTTAGGGGTAGTTCTGTCAGAACACTGTACTAGGGGTTAGGGGTAGTTCTGTCAGAACACTGTACTAGGGGTTAGGGGTAGTTCTGTCACTTCACTGTACTAGGGGTTAGGGGTAGTTCTGTCAGAACACTGTACTAGGGGTTAGGGGTAGTTCTGTCAGAACACTGTACTAGGGGTTAGGGGTAGTTCTGTCAGAACACTGTACTAGGGGTTAGGGGTAGTTCTGTCACTTCACTGTACTAGGGGTTAGGGGTAGTTCTGTCAGAACACTGTACTAGGGGTTAGGGGTAGTTCTGTCAGAACACTGTACTAGGGGTTAGGGGTAGTTCTGTCAGAACACTGTACTAGGGGTTAGGGGTAGTTCTGTCAGAACACTGTACTAGGGGTTAGGGGTAGTGCTGTACGTATACTGTGACAATTAATAATTGCAATTATAGTGTTAAACTGGACTTACAGGAATAATTACAGTAATATGAACACAGTTTTACAGCATCTGTTACCTGTGCGCTACATCTCTAAAATGTGAAGAATGAAATCTCTATGAATGACAAAAAATGGAATTGTTTGAAATGAATTGAAATCAACCTTTCTATAGTGGTGTGCCTCCCCATTCACGTACCAGTGACCACAGACTTGAAGGCACGGTTGTGCCCCACAAACTCACAGTCGTCGCCCTTCTTAATGACGCCCCTCTCCAAAGTGCCAGTCACCACCGTACCCCTGCCTGAAAGACAGATGAATTAATACACGTTTAATAAATAGTTTTGATACCCAGAGGGAGACGTGGTTAGACACCAGCAGACAGATCAGAACAGAGACATGATGGCTGAACTACATCATACGTGCATCAATAAAATCAAAGGTGAAACAAAGGTACAAAGGAAACTGATAGTCACTCTTACTAAGTCACACAAAGACAGGGAGAGGAAAACTGCATGTTATAGATACACTGTTTATTCCTACACAGATGTACAGAAAACAGGCATGTTGTTCCAGTCACAAAACACATGCTGCACAAACATAGCAGACTGACTAATGTCAAAGATTTTTTATGAAGATAGCTCAGTGGCTACGGAAACCGTTGTCAAACACTGGGATGAGCCTAGCAATGAGGCAGGGACAGTGGGATCCTATTGCAGCGTTTTAACATCTATTGTCATGTTTTCATTAGGAAACGCTTTCTATCTGAAGAGTACAGTGCAAGAGCTTGAATTTATCGCTGCACTGCTTCTGAATGATGTCATGTTAAATGGTTAACAATGAGTCAGGTCGACATATAGTAAGGAGAGGAAGACACCTAGTGGCAACACAGCTTTTTAACTTCATGAGAAATCTAGGTTCTCTTTGCAATTTGAGCTACTTCTCAGTCACCTGGGATAGAGTAGACTCCCTCGATGGGCAGCAGGAAGGGTTTCTCCAGCTCTCTCTTGGGCAGAGGGACATATTCATCCACTATCTCTAGGAGCTTCAGCACTGCGTTCACCCCCAGGTCAGGCTGTTTGTTCTGGGGAGGGGAGGTTAGACGAGGTGAGACAACAGGTAAGGTTTTACCACTGCACAAATTACCAGACTGATTACAGCTGCGCTATCTGTCTGGAAGGGATTCCCTTTGGGCCGAGGCATTGCACAAAACAAATTCAAAAGTGATTGGATCACCTTCAACCAATCAGAAAAAAGGAAGCCACAGTGCTGCATTTTTCAGAAGTAACACAAGCACTTGCCATCTTTCAAGAGAGAAAGGCATATCTAACACCAGGACAATAAGCTATATGAGACAAAGGCAGATAAATATAGAAATGTCAACGTGAGACTAACATACATATAGTAGACCAACATCAGCACCTAATGTTTTTGCCAAACCATAGCGATGATAAAGATTAGGGTACTGCATCAGATTCAATACAGAGACCGTCTTGATACAGTAACCTCAGCCTACACTTTATTGAACCATCTCGTAATTTAGATGATATGCTTTCACACAGAATGGAGCAGGTCTGATAGGGGGCAGTTTATTTAGCAGAGTTCAGACTGTCATGTAAAGCTTTATATTTAGCCATCACCTTGTAAGTATGACGTTACATGCGTTGTTTCCTGTTGTCTACTGCCTGTCATCAACTAAACCACTCCCATAGTTCATCAGAGGATGCTGATTGGTCCAAAGCAACGGTGAGAGAAAAGGCGGGGCTCAGGTCATCACAGCCCTACCAGACTGATATCCCTGCAGCGTTTAATGTATGCTCGCGTTTAATGGAAGCTCGCGTTTAATGTATGCTCGCGTTTAATGGAAGCTCGCGTTTAATGTATGCTCGCGTTTAATGGAAGCTCGCGTTTAATGGAAGCTCGCGTTTAATGGAAGCTCGCGGGATCAGGCGGATTTGCGAGTCTACCTAAAAGACCACATTGAAATAAGTCAGTTGACTTTTTGGTTTTTAAAATCTAAATTATTTTGTATGTTTGTATTATTGTACCAACATGGCTGAAGCAACAGTATGTATTTTAAAACGGTCAAATAAAATAAAAATCGATCAACCTTGCCAGCGAGCTGATAGCCTATCCGAAGTTGTGAGGTTATTCGGTCACCGCCACAACCCTACCTCGTACCATGCACTCACCTCCAGGGCACAGAGGGCCGAGCCGATGACAACGGGCGTGTTCTCGCCGTCGTAGCCAAACTCTGTGAGCAGCTCTCTGATCTCCAGCTCAACCAGCTCCAGCATCTCCTTGTCCTCCACTGCATCCGCTTTGTTCACAAACACCACCACGTGCTCCACGCCGATCTGCCGGGCCAGCAGGAGGTGCTCCCTGGTCTGGGGCATCTGTCCGTCCGTGGCCGCCACCACCAGGATGCAGCCGTCCAGCTGAGCCGTGCCTGTGATCATGTTCTACAGGAGAAAGGTAAACACAATCAGACTGTCATTCTCTATCTCTTTACCTTTCATACTGCATTGTTGAGGAAGAGCCTGTTAGTCAGCGTCTCTCTGTACTGTTTATACCTGCTGTATCTCGTGACTAATCAACGTGGATTTGGTCCCTTGCAATTCTAGTCCCGAAATCACAAAGTGTCTCAGTAGGAATGGAGATCTAGGATTGGTTTTGCCTTTTAAATTACAGACCTGCCAACCACTTCAGCACGGCGGCAGCACCCCCGGCCAGATTTTACAATATTTTTTTTTGTCATTTAGCAGACGCTCTTATCCAGAGCGACTTACAGGCGCAATTAGGGTTAAGTGCTTTGCTCAAGGGCCCAGACAGATTTTTCACCTAGTCAGCTCTGGGATTTGAACCAGCGGCCTTTCGGTTACTGGCCCAACGCTCTTAACCGGTAGGCTACCTGTCCCCCCACAACAGTGCACGTGCAACACCCACACTGCTCAAATCATAGACAAAAGCACCTTTTGATGCCTAATAATGATGTTGGCAGAAGAATGTCTCACTAGGAATGGTATGCTAGACTGTTATAGGTACTTGGTCATTGGCAGCTCTTCAGTAGCTAACTAGAAATACGTTTAAATGTACAATCAGGGCTCTCCCTAGGATTTTCTGACAAGGTGGTGCTGATGTAGGCCGGAGGTTGGGTAGGGGGGGAGGTCCGGAGCAGTTTAGTCAACTTCCCTCTCAGGAAGTTGGAGCATTTAGCTAATTTATTTTTAATTTTTTTTACCTGTAACTGCAATTTCCTGAAACCTAGAGTCTTAAATTATATCAAACAATGTAGCCAACACAGAAGTCTCATTTGAGCCTAAATGAAATTGAAGTGGTCTCAATGACGCTTTCAACATATTTCTAGGTTACATTTTGGGGTAATGATTATTGTAATCTAAATTATTTTTTATGTCTGTTTTATTGTACCAACATGGCTGAAGCAACAGTATGTATTTTAAAACGGTCAAATAAAATACAAAACCGATCAACCTTGTCAGCGAGCTAATAGCCTATCCGAAGTTGTGAGGTTATTCTATTTAAATAGGTGTCTAGTGAAAATGTAAACTGTCTTAATTTTGTTTGGGGAGACAATTCTGAATAATTAAATTACTAGATACAATGTAGTAGTCTAGCTTACTGTATTAGTCTAGCTTACTGTAGTAGTCTAGCTTACTGTAGTAGTCTAGCTTACTGTAGTAGTCTAGCTTACTGTAGTAGTCTAGCTTACTGTAGTAGTCTAGCTTACTGTAGGCTATTTGGAATATGAAACAACTGAACTAGGCCTATATGAGCTTGTTTCAGATCCGTATCCCTGACCTCATCCATCCAGTTAGGTCTGACTACTAGGCTGCCATTCATTCAACATGCCTTGTTGTCATTGGTGACCTGACTATTATCACATCATTAGTAGCCTACTGTTGACCTACAGCTATATGAAGAGGACAGATCAACAACTGATTTATTAACATAGCCCTACTCATTTTTAACAGTGAAAGACGGTATTAGCGGGACATCTCTCACAGCCATGTCCGTTTCCATCCATGCAGCGACGCGTACTGAACTACCCCTGCACCACACGTTTCCTTGCTCGTCAATGCGCTCGTGCCTACTACGGTTGCGGAGATCAAAGCATCTGTGCCGCGCGGGCAAAAACAATGTCCTTGCCTAAACGCTGTAGCTAACTACCTTCGTCGTAATGACGCCTTAGCCAACTACAAAATAATAGTGGTTGTGCTTGACTAACACATACATTTCCCTACCCGTATTCCTCACACATTAGTAGTATCAACAGACGAAGTGGAGAGCTGTCATCCAGCTGGAGGGAGGAAAATAATACTACAGGGGCCGGGCCTGAGCGGAGAGCTAGAGATTTTCTCTCCTTGCCCAATTCCTCTGATTGGCTCAGCACCAACTTCAGATGGTTGAGTCAAAAACCACAATGTGTTCTGCGTATTTTAGGGTAGTTTTTCTAACCAGAGTACTTTTATCTCAAATTGTGTGCATGGTACGGTGATGCGTGCAGGTTGGCAGGTCTAAAATGATAGTGAATAAGAGAGAAGAACTGATCCTAGATCAGCACTCATACTAAAACCCGTTGCGAAAACGGGCCTCAGGGACTGGATAAGCAATATACCGAACATCCCCCATGCCGCCGTATACCCATCCAATCCTGTAAAATAATCTCAAGCCCACCGAGGGGTTTGCCTGACGACAAACTGAATTCTTCCGCTGCTCTATGTTCGCTACATACTTCAGTCTGAGACTGCCATAATTGAAGTAGTTTGTGGTGATGTCAAAATGAGGGGTGTTGTACAAAACAATGTCATCAGCGATTGGATCATCTCTAACCATTCAGAGTATCAAAGCCAATTACACATTTTCAAAACAACACTTTACCCATGTGTGTTTGGCTCAACCCATCGGTTTCTGGGACCAATCAGAACGGTTAGAATGTGTTTGCATTCTAGAAATTGTCTGGTAGTTACTCATTGCGGAGAAGAAACTGACGTCCGTGGCGTAGTGTTTGGCCGGAGCAAGGACTTTGGGTAGCCAGTCAACAGAGAGGTACGGGTTTGAGGTGGATTTTAGAATGGGTGTTCAGCGCTTGTGTTACCTTGACGTAGTCAGCATGGCCCGGGCAGTCTGTGTGTGCATAGTGTCTGTTGGCTGTGGTGTACTCTACGTGGGATGCATTGATGGTGATGCCCCTCGCCTTCTCCTCGGGGGCATTGTCAATGTCCTCATACTTCTTATAGCGGGCACCTCCAGCCTCAGCCAGCACTGGGAACCACAAAGGCACATTTAGAAACATATACAATAACCTAATATTGAGAACAAACAGCATCTGACAGAACATTTGATTCTGCTGGCAGATGCTTTGATTGGTTAACAGTCCACAGTAACTCAGTGGGTTTCAAGTACACCTGTTATCTGTTTAGTTTGACTTCACTAATCCAAATGTAAACTGAGAAAATTCAATGGTGACATCAGTTACCTTTGGTGATGGCAGCCGTTAGAGTTGTCTTGCCATGGTCAACATGGCCAATCGTGCCAATGTTCACATGGGGCTTGTCTCTGGCGTATGTTTTCTTGGCCTTGGCCTCTGCTGCAAAGTTCCGCTGAGTAAATGGCACTGCACACTGGGAGAAAAAAAATGAAGAAGAGTTTTTGTAATGGACAGCAGGGCCAGAAGACACGTATGGGCAGGTGATCAGTCAAAAAAAAGGAAGGCAAATGCAACTTGAATCACGAACACAGTTTTTGCCACGCAATGCAATACTAAAACCAGCAAACATTACTGCCACCTAGGACTGCGATTTTATATCCCTGATTGGTTTGCCATAGTGTGTGTGAATGACTCTGCTCATAACACCGTCTAGGTACTCACCAGTTTATAGGAGCTGTGCAGGAGACCGGGTGAGGAAAGCTGAAGGGCTAGAACGATAACATGTATTTAGTAATCAGGTGGCCTCCGAGACAGTTGACAGTGTCAAGAGAAGTCGCTAGCTAAATATCACAAAGTGTACAGACATGGCTTGGGGCTATCAAGCTTCGTGCTGCAACATAAGGGATTATGTTGAGACATTGGGTTTATTATAAAAAAAAACATAAAACCAAAGTCCCAACAAAACCCCTTAGCTATGTTGCGGGACGAAGCTAGGCCATACCTAACGTTAATGTATACAGGCTTGTTATCTGTCATAACATAGGCTACTTCAATTCCCATACTGTTTCCTGTGTCATTCTTTAAAAAAGCAAATGTTTCTGACGCTACCTAGAAAAATAATTTCGTTTTCAACTGTATCTGACACGTTTTTGATAGGCCTAACGTTTTCACAACGCAAGCGATAGCTAATTTAACTAATATTCTTTAACGTGACCTTGCTCTGCCTGCGGAACGAACCGAGCGGCTAGCCTCCTACAGCATCCATGCTCACTAGGGTTCATTTAAACCCCACATACGTTTCGTCGCGATTAAAAGGCAAAACATTATAATGGAAAATAAAGGTTATTAATAATTGAACGCAGAAAATTACAATATTGGTTGTGAATACGTTGTATAACTTTAACTAACCGGAGAAACATGCACGAAATCCAACGAGCGTCGCCATCTTGGACTGACAAGCGGATGAAAGTGACGTCATTACATGGTGATCATTATTTCTTCTTCTTCTTCTTCTTCTTCTTCTTCTTCTTCTTCTTCTTCGGATGTTATGGCGGACTACAACCCCAAAAGGTGTATTGCCGCCACCAACTGGACGGGTTGAAACCAAAACAAGGTAAAAAGAAAATCCATACTTAATAGGGAAACTATCTTAATCAACCCAAATAAAAATAGTACATTGACAAAACCAAACTCCCACTTCTTCCTTCTTTCAATTCTCCACATCTCCCTTCTCATGCTCTAGGACCTGGCAATATTCCATGTAACTCCTTCGCCAAGAAATCTTTCAGCCCCAGGAACCGCTCCGCCACATCCACACTGATTTCTATCCTCCTGGACCTTCTCTCCGCCTTGGCAGTGCCATTAATTACCATAGCTATAAAGTACACAAGGTCCACCTTCTTAACCTTTAAAATGTCAGGATCTTGCTGGTGAAAGGCATGGATTAAGTTTGTTTCCCTATCACGTATGGATTTTATTTTTTACATTATTTTGGTTTCAACCCGTCCAGTTGGTGGCGGCAATACACCGTTTTGAGTTGTAGTCCACCATAAAACCCACAGAAGAAGAAGAATGGCCGCCCCCTGAAACGCATGATGATTCAACGCGCAGCAATTAGCTTGCCACTCAACTAGCTAGAATGTTCTAGTACCGTTACGTTCTTGTACAGTATTAAAGGGCAGCGAAATAAGTACCAACTTTAACATTGTGACAGTCGGCGTCTTTAACAAACAGGCAAGTGTATGAGACACAAAAGTAAAAAGAGCAGCCCAGCTAAGTCAAACTGTCAGACTTGTTTACCGAGCTAACAGTGGCTAGGAGCATAGCCTTCTCTCTGGCTTTGTAGCCTACCCAAGACATTTGCTGTAGCTCTCAAAATAGCTCAACCTACCCAGCTAACGTTATTCTGTATGTGCTTGATATTTATGTGACAACTTTAATAGCCAACAACTTGCTCGCAGTTAGTTAGGCCTAGTATCAGGGATAAAAAGTCATATGTTTAATCACTTAGCTAGGTTAGTTGGATTCATTTGAGAATGGAATGTGTCAGGGGTCAGGAACCTGCAGCTCTTTGCATGCCCCTTAGCTGCTTCCTGGAGATCTAGCTACAATTACAATTAGTAATTCAAAGTTCTCAATAGACTATAGCATAATACTGATTGTATGTCAGAACTTGTAGAGCAGATTGGAACCCTAATTGCAATCAACAATTGAACTTTACTAAGTGCATAGGTTGATTTTGCTTTCTGCCCACAATTCAGTGCCAAATTTGGGTAGTAATACATTGACAAACAGGTTCTGGAATAATTTCACCTGTTTTTCTCATCAGCACAGAGCATCATGGCAGAAGACCAACGCAACAGGAGACATCCCCAAAACCTCCAGGGTGTCCTTCGATTGGCTGTGGAGGCTGGCTCTGCTGCAGATGGACCCGCCCTCTCTGAACCCATGTCAGAGGAGGTAATTGGTCCTTCTTAGTCACCTTCAGGTCTTCTTAATTGCAGATGTGCTGTGTAGATTAGCAGATCTCACAACAACTTGTTACATTGACAACCAATTGTACATTGACCGTAATGTCACTCTTTTTGTTACAGAGAAAAGAATGGTTGAAAGGAGCTCTTGCGGAAGTGGCTAAAGGACAGAACAGCGAGGTGGAACAGATGAAGGAGTGTATGCGTGTCCTGATGAGAGATGGAGGGTGTGTGAGGGGGAGAGAGGGAGAGGAGGAAGGAGAGGATGAAGAGGGGGAGACAGAAGGGGCACTGGAGTTTCTCTCAGAGCTGTGTGAGAACCTGGACAATGCCAGAGGTGAGACATGCCAAGCAACAGGAAGTGATGTAAAGAAGTTACACTTCAGCTTGTGACCCAAATGAAAGGTTCACTGTCTTCGATGGACCCTAGTTAAAAATATATGAAATGTAACTGTTTAAGTTACTGTAGTTTTATACAGTGCATTCGGAAAGTATTCAGACCCCTTTTTCCACATTTTGTTACATTACAGCCTTATTCTAAAATAGATTAAATCTATTTTTTCCCTCATCAATCTACACACATTACCCCATAATGACAAAGCAAAAACAGGTTTTTAGAAATTGTTGCGAATTTATTACAAATAAAAAACTGAAATATGACATTTACCCAAGTGAGGGAAAAAAGTATTTGATCCCCTGCTGATTTTGTATGTTTGCCCACTGACAAAGACATGATCAGTCTATAATTTTAATGGTAGGTTTATTTGAACAGTGAGAAACAGAATAACAACAAAAAAAATCAGAAAAACGCATGTCAAAAATGTTATAAATTGATTTGCATTTGAATGAGGGAAATAAGTATTTGACCCCTCTGCAAAACATGACTTAGAACTTGGTGGCAAAACCCTTGTTGGCAATCACAGAGGCCAGACGTTTCTTGTAGTTGGCCACCAGGTTTGCACACATCTCAGGAGGGATTTTGTTCCACTCTTTGCAGATCTTCTCCAAGTCATTAAGGTTTCGAGGCTGATGTTTGGCAACTCGAACCTTCAGCTCCCTCCACAGATTTTCTATGGGATTAAGGTCTGGAGACTGGCTAGGCCACTCCAGGACCTTAATGTGCTTCTTCTTGAGCCACTCCTTTGTTGCCTTGGCCATGTGTTTTGGGTCATTGTCATGCTGGAATACCCATCCACGACCCATTTTCAATGCCCTGGCTGAGGGAAGGAGGTTCTCACCCAAGATTTGACGGTACATGGCCCTGTCCATCGTCCCTTTGATGCGGTGAAGTTGTCCTGTCCCCTTAGCAGAAAAACACCCCCAAAGCATAATGTTTCCACCTCCATGTTTGACGGTGGGGATGGTGTTCTTGGGGTCATAGGCAGCATTCCTCCTCCTCCAAACACGGCGAGTTGAGTTGATGCCAAAGAGCTCCATTTTGGTCTCATCTGACCAAAACACTTTCACCCAGTTCGCCTCTGAATCATTCAGATGTTCATTGGCAAACTTCAGATGGGCATGCATATGTGCTTTCTTGAGCAGGGGGACCTTGCGGGCGCTGCAGGATTTCAGTCCTTCACGGCGTAGTGTGTTACCAATTGTTTTCTTGGTGACTATGGTCCCAGCTGCCTTGAGATCATTGACAAGATCCTCCCGTGTAGTTCTGGGCTGATTACTCACCGTTCTCATGATCATTGCAACTCCACGAGGTGAGATCTTGCATGGAGCCCCAGGCCGAGGAAGATTGACAGTTCTTTTGTGTTTCTTCCATTTGCGAATAATCGCACCAACTGTTGTTACCTTCTCACCAAGCTGCTTGGCGATGGTCTTGTAGCCCATTCCAGCCTTATGTAGGTCTACAATCTTGTCCCTGACATCCTTGGAGAGCTCTTTGGTCTTGGCCATGGTGGAGAGTTTGGAATCTGATTGATTGCTTCTGTGGACAGGTGTCTTTTATACAGGTAACAAACTGAGATTAGGAGCACTCCCTTTAAGAGTGTGCTCCTAATCTCAGCTCGTTACCTGTATAAAAGACACCTGGGAGCCAGAAATCTTTCTGATTGAGAGGGGGTCAAATACTTATTTCCCTAATTAAAATACAAATCAATTTATAACATTTTTGACATGCGTTTTTCTGGATTTTGTTGTTGTTATTCTGTCTCTCACTGTTCAAATAAACCTACCATTAACATTATAGACTGATCATGTCTTTGTCAGTGGGCAAACGCACAAAATCAGCAGGGGATCAAATACTTTTTTCCCTCACTGTAAGTATTCAGACCCTTTACTCAGTACTTTGTTGAAGCACCTTTGGCAGCGATTACAGCCTCGAGTCTTCTTGGGTATTACGCTACAAGCTTGGCACACCTGTATTTGGGGAGTTTCTTCCATTCTTCTCTGCAGATCCTTTCAAGCTCTTGTCAGGTTGGATGGCAGCGTTGCTGCACAGCTATTTTCAGGTCTCTCCAGAGATGTTAGATCGGCTTCAAGTACGGGGCTCTGGCTGGGCCACTCAAGGACATTCAGAGACTTGTCCTGAAGCCACTCCTGCGTTGTCTTGGCTGTGTGCTTAGGGTTGTTGTCCTGTTGGAAGGTGAACCTGGAATCTGGAGCAGGTTTTCATCAAGGATCTCTCTGTACTTTGCTCCGTTAATATTTTCCTCGACCCTGACTAGTCTCACAGTCACTGCCTCTGAAAAACATCCCCACAGCATGATGCTGCCACCACCATGCTTCACCGTAGGGATGGTGCCAGGTTTCCTCCAGACGTGACGCTTGGCATTCAGGCCAAAGAGTTCAATCTTGGTTTCATCAGACCAGATAGTCTTACTTCTCATGGTCTGAGAGTCTTTAGGTGCCTTTTGGCTTCCGTCTGGCCACTCTACCATAAAGGCCTGATTGGTGGAGTGCTTCAGAGATGGTTGTCCTTCTGGAAGATTCTTCCATCTCCACAGAGGAACTCTGGAGCTCTGTCAGATTGATTATCGGGTTCTTGGTCACCTCCCTGACCAAGGCCCTTCTCCCCCAATTGCTCAGTTTGGCCAGGCGGCCAGCTTAGGGAACAGTCTTGGTGGTTCCAAACTACTTCCATTTAAGAATGATGGAGGCCACTGTGTTCTTGGGGACCTTCAATGTTGCAGACATTTTTTTGGTACCCTTCCCCAGATCTGTGCCTCGACACAATCCTGTATCGGAGCTCTACAAACAATTCCTTCGACCTCATGGCTTGGTTTTCGCTCTGACATGCACTGTCAACTGTTGGACCTTTCCAAATCATGTCCAATCAATTGAATTTACCACAGGTGGACTCCAATCAAGTTGTAGAAATATCTCAAGGATGATCAATGGAAACAGGATGCACCTGAGCTCAATTTCGAGTCTCATAGCAAAGGGTCTGAATACTTATGTAAATAATAATGTTTTTTATTTTTAATATGTTTGCAGACATTTCTAAAAACCTGTTTTGTCTTTGTCATTATGGGGTATTGTGTGTAGATTGATGAGGAAAAACAAATATTTAAACAATTTTAGAATAAGGCTGTAACATAACAAAAGGTGGAAAAAGTCGAGGGGTCTGAATACTCTCTGAATGCACTGTATATTACTGATATTCCAGTAAAGACAGACAGATCAACATGGACATGAATGACACAAGTTATATTCATTAATAATAAAACTGTGTCCATTGTAATCTGTATTTGTCTGTCTGTGTGTCAGACCTGATGACCCTGGGTGGACTGGACCTGTGTATGTCACAGTGCTTGAACCATCCTCAGGGCAGCGTGAGGTGGCGTGGTGCCCAGCTCATCGCCTCCTGTGCCCAGAACATGCCCGAAGTGCAGTGCCACTTACTCAACAAGGGCGCGCTACCCAAACTCCTGCAGCTGACCGACTCCGATCCCCACCCCACCGTTCGAGTGAAGGCCCTCTACGCTGTTTCCTGTAAGTGTTGCCCCTTGGATAGGTAAAAACAATATGGGGAACACATTCCACCATTGCACAATTCCTGAATCAGTGAGAGATTACTCTAGCCTATCAAAGGGCAAGTTTACAATATTGCTAATATCGCCTGTTCCTCTCAAATCTAAATGAAGTGCCACTGGCCGGAGTGTAGTTGATAGGAGTTCATTTAGATTTGAGGATCAGTGAAGTACCACACAGTAACTCTTTCTCTCAGTCTTCTCTCTTTCTCTCTCTCTCCATCAGGTCTGGTGCGTGAGCAGGAAGTAGGTCTCGGGGCCTTCCTGTCCCACGATGGCTTCTCTGTGCTGATGAGAGGCATGCAGTCTGACAACGAGAAACTGAGGACCAAGTCGTCTTTCTTACTCCTCAACCTCCTCACAGTCCACCCAGAGCATAAAGGTGACTGTTATGGACACCCTCTTTCTCAGTCTGACAGCGAGACTCATTTGGAGGCTGTCTCTGTTTGCTTCTGTGTGTTGCTTTTGGTAGTGTGTCTTAATGGAGAGTATCATGCTTTGTGTCCCCCTGAAGTAAAATGTGAATTTAACAGTCTTATTTGTATCATAACTAAATAAATATGTGTCCTTGTGTGGCAATGTAAAATCTCTCCCTCTCTCAGATACAGTTCTCTCCATGGGTATGGTGCAACAGCTGGTGTCCATTCTTCGCACGCCTCACTCCTCCTTCCACGAGCATGTGCTCGGCGCCCTCTGCTGGTAATACAAGTGAACACACAAAGGGAAAATGGCTTGAAAATCGACTTGCCATGTCTTCTCAATGGCGCTTCAATAAAACAACCCTCTCTGTCTCTAGCCTGGTGGAGGAGAGTCCTCTGGGTCTGAGGGACTGTCAGAGCCCTACCTTGGGGCTGGAGGAGATGCTCAACCAGCGGGCTAAAGATCTGCAGGGGAGAGAGGAGTGTCAGGTTGGTACCCCTACACATGTTTCTCCACACCTCGCCATCCTCTCTAATACCATTCCTCTTTCACTTCCCATGTTACCCATGAACCTCTCCATCTCTCTAAAGGCTTCCGCATGCTTCCCATCCGGAACAGTCCGGAACAGTTCGTGCATATATTATGACAACATTGTGTGATGTTTCTGGTCTTCGGCAAGTTTTTTGGGGGGCTGTTCATGCACACAACAGTTTTCTCTCAAGGCAAAACAGATTTCGGTAGCCGAAGTCTACGCCCCTTCATTGGTCAACAGTAGGGATTCTTAAATGAAGTGTTTATCATTCAACAACAGACGACTCGTTCACATGCACATTTTTTCACTTGACAAAACTGCACCAAACATCCTAGTTAATGTAAAATTACGCTACTAAGGTATTCTCTGCAAAAACGTCAAAAGTAATGACAGATTTCTTGAGTTATCTTAGATTAATTCTGACTATTTTGAGGAAGTGTATACTGGCTACGGCATCTCAACATGGACAAACGGTATTGTTGCCGCTTTTTTCTCGTTTTTGAAGCGAAGGTCTTTTAAGGGCGTATGCGAGCACACTCGTTCAGTTCGGCTAGGCGCCAGCCGAAGCATGCGGAAGCCTTAATATTATCCCTCTGTCACTCCCCATGTTACCCATTAACCAATATCTCTCTAATACCATCCCTCTGTCACTCCCCATGTCTCCCTCTATCTCTCTAATACAATCCCTCTGTCACTCCCCATGTTTCCCTTATCTCTAATACCATCCCTCTGTCACTCCCCATGTTTCCCTTATCTCTAATACCATCCCTCTGTCACTCCCCATGTCTCCCTCTATCTCTCTAATACCATCCCTTTGTCACTCCCCATGTCTCCTCTCTATCTCTCTAATACCATCCCTTTGTCACTCCCCATGTCTCTTCTCTATCTCTCTAATACCGTCACTCCCCATGTCTCTTCTCTATCTCTCTAATACCGTCACTCCCCATGTCTCTTCTCTATCTCTCTAATACCGTCACTCCCCATGTCTCCCTCTATCTCTCTAATACCATCCCTCTGTCACTCCCCATGTCTCCCTCTATCTCTCTAATACCATCCCTTTGTCACTCCCCATGTCTCTTCTCTATCTCTCTAATACCGTCACTCCCCATGTCTCTTCTCTATCTCTCTAATACCGTCACTCCCCATGTCTCTTCTCTATCTCTCTAATACCGTCACTCCCCATGTCTCCCTCTATCTCTCTAATACCATCCCTCTGTCACTCCCCATGTCTCCCTCTATCTCTCTAATACCATTCCTCTGTCACTCCCCATGTCTCCCTCGATCTCTCTAATACCGTCCATCTGTCACTCCCCATGTCTCCCTCTATCTCTCTAATACCATCCCTTTGTCACTCCCCATGTCTCCCTCTATCTCTCTAATACCATTCCTCTGTCACTCCCCATGTCTCCCTCGATCTATCTAATACCGTCCATCTGTCACTCCCCATGTCTCCCTCTATCTCTCTAATACCATCCCTTTGTCACTCCCCATGTCTCCCTCTATCTCTCTAATACCATCCCTTTGTCACTCCCCATGTCTCTTCTCTATCTCTCTAATACCGTCACTCCCCATGTCTCTTCTCTATCTCTCTAATACCATCCCTTTCACTCCCCATGTCTCCCTCGATCTCTCTAATACCATCCCTTTGTCACTCCCCATGTCTCCCTCTATCTCTCTAATACCATCCATCTGTCACTCCCCATGTCTCCCTCTATCTCTCTAATACCATCCCTTTCACTCCCCATGTCTCCCTCTATCTCTCTAATACCATCCCTTTCACTCCCCATGTCTCCCTCTATCTCTCTAATACCATCCCTTTCACTCCCCATGTCTCCCTCGATCTCACTAATACATCCCTTTGTCACTCCCCATGTCTCTTCTCTATCTCTCTAATACCATCCCTCTGTCACTCCCCATGTATTTCTCCTCTCTCCAGATGCATCACTAATGACATTGAATAATGTATTATGACCCCCCCCATCTTTTGCTAGGCATATGTTTTTGACTTATTTGCCACTAGGCTAGAAACCTGTCCTATTTCCTTCACAGTTTTCTCCCATTCTTATCTCCTCCTTTATAGGAAGAGTTGGAGTTCTGCAAACGCTTGCGTTCTGCTTGTTTTTGCGGGCGGCAACCTGACGACAGTGGAATGGATCGCTAGAATCCATCTGGTCCTCCTTCTCCTGTAGTGCCATCATTGGCTAGGAGACATAGGACATACATTTTAAAGAAATTAACTCTCCTTGAGGAAAATATGCTGATGTCGCTGTCCATCAAGACCCATGTTACAGGGTGGCTGGATCCAAGAGTGTAGCAGGCTTTCGAGAGCAGAGCGTGCTTCACAAAGCACTGTCACCAGGTTAGCCAGCTGACGTAGATAAACTTCAGATATATCTCTTGTGTCGAGTCACTTATACCATGTCCAGTCTATATATCATTATGTATTGTATCTACACCCTGACTACTTCCTGCTGACTTCTTGCCAGGCCCCCCTTGCAAAAGAGGTTTTCTAACTTCAAAGGTGTTTTCCTGGTTAATAAAGATACAATATTTTATTTTCCGATAGTACCCAGTACGGTCATTTCTGAACAATTTAGGAAGGTTAGCTGATTCTGCTTCGTGACTACTCCCATAGTTTGCGTTTTATTGCTGCTGAAGAAAATAGATTCGAGAAGCCTTGGACTTTTGGATTCTGAGTATGCCCAACAAAACCTCAGATTCCATACATATTCTCTAAATATCAGATGTAACATTTAGTGAAAACGCTATTTTACAGCCCTGTCACCATTTCTTTATCCGGCATATGTGATCTTGATT